GATTTATTTGTACTTTTGCCTGTTATTAATGATGCTGATATGAACAGTCATGTACAAGTTTTATGCAAATATATTTCAGTTTCATTGGGTATTTAGCTAGGAGTGAAATTATTTTGGGCATTTGGTAACTCTTTGTTTAATTTTTCGAGGTACTACCAAATAGCCAATTTTGCACAATGGCTGTACCATTTCACATTTTCACCAGGAATGTATGAAGGATCCAATTTTTCTACGTCCTTGCCAATGCTTTTTAATTTCTCTGTGTGTGTTTTATCACATTCATTTTAGTGGATGTGAGTGATGTCTCATTGCGGTTTTGACTTGAATTTCTCTAATGACTAATGATGTTGAGCATTTGTATCTGTTTGAAGAAATATTGTTCATGTCCTTGGGCCATACTAAAATTAGGTTGTTTATATTTTATTTGCTGAGTTTTGTTGATTATATTTTCTGAATGTTAGATTAATATTAGATGTTCCTTCTCTAATTTGTTGTATATTTTGTCATGAAAGTACATTGGATTTTGTTACATTATTTTTCTCTACATGGGAATGATTATGAATATTTTTCTTCCTCATGTTAACATGATGTGTTAAATGTATTGTGTTTCATATGCTAAATCATTTGTGTATTTTGGGGACAAATTCTACTAGGTCTTGGTGTATAATCTTTTAACATGCTCCTGGTTTGTTTCCTGTTATTTTATTGAGAAGTTTTACTCGTCTGCATTCATAAGGCATAACATTGTTTTGTTCTTTTCTCGTGTTTTCCTTGTCTGCCTTTGTATAAGTGTGATACTAGCCTCATAGAATGAGTTATGGCATGGTCCCTTGTTTTCTAATTTTTGGGAATGTCTAAGAAGAATTTATCTTAATTTCGGAATTCACCAGTGAAGCCATCTGATACTGATAGTTACTTTGTGTGAAGTTTTTGTTCACTGATTCAGTCTCTTTACTTGTTATAGGTCTACTCTTTCTTTTTGCGGCTACTTTGGTAGTTTATGTATGCTAGCAACTTTTTCATTATAAATTGATTAATTTGTTGACATTCAATTGTTCATGGTATTCTCTTTTAATCTTTTTACTTTTTTTAAGGTTAGTAGTAAGTTCTTTTCTTCATTCTTTTAATTTTTTTTTATTGTTGAGACAATGTCTCTCTCTGTTGCTGTGAGCGGCAAGATTGTGGCTCACTCAGCATGGCTCTCACCACGCTCAAGTGATTCTCCTACCTCAACCTCTGGAATTGCTGTAATTGTAGTCATGCACCACTCCACCTTGTTAATTTTTAACACTTTTTGTAGAAACTGAGGTCTTGCTATGTTACCCAAGCTGGTCTGAAACTCCTGACCTCAAGCGATCTTTTCAACCTTGACCTCCCAAAGTGCTGGGATTACAGACATGAGCCATCATACCTGGGCCTTCATTCTTGATGTTAGTACTTGAGTCTTTCTTTTATTCTTGGCCATTCTAGCTAAAATTTGTCAGCATTGTTGATTGTTAAAATGAGTTAACTTTTGGTTTTGTTGATTTTTTTCCTGTTGTTTTTCTATTCTTTATTGTATTACTCTTCATTCTAATTTTTATTGTTTCTTTCCTTGTGCATAAAGTTTGTTAAATCAAGCATACGGTTGTTAAGTTTCTTAAGGTGACAGCTTAGGTTAATGATTTGAGAATTTTCTTATTTTTTGATATAGGTGTTTAATTTCCCTTTTTACTTTCACTCAGTTTTTGTGAGAATGTTGTTTAATTTTCACATCAAGTATTTATGAATTTTCCCAATTTTCTACTGTGCCATTTTGATGATTTATAAAATTATTGAATGAAAGGACTTTTTATAGAAATTCCTTAACACATTGTATTACATGTGCTCCTTTTTTATTTTTTTTTATTTTTTTTGAGTTGGAGTCTCACTCGGTCGCCCAGACTGGAGTGCAGTGGCCGCTCCCGGCCACCGCAGCCTCGACCTGCTGGGCTCCGGCGATCCTTCCGCCTCAGCCTTCCAAGTAGCCGGAATTACAGGCATGCGCTACCATGCCCGGCTGATTTTTTGATTTATTGTAGAGATGAGGTCTCGCTGCCCAGGCGGGTCTTGAACCCGCGGGCTCAGGCAATTCACTCACCTCAGCCTCCCAAAGGCGCGGGTTACAGGCTGAGCCACCGAGCCCGGCTACATGTGCTCCTTTTAATAGCACACCCATATTTTTTAATGAATAATGGTATTATTCAGAGTCATAGATATTGAATGATTATACTTTGTAATTGAAATAATATGCATTCATCTTCAATTTTTAATTACTTCCACCAAAGAAAAATATATTTTTACTTTCACATAATGTATCTATGTTTAATTTGTCTTGCTTTAGATGAATTAACTTTAATTTCTAAAGCATTTTGAACTTTTGGTTAGTTTCTTCAATTCTAAGGAGATTAGTTAGTAATAAGTTATTGTCAGAAAAGAAAAAGAAAAATATGTGATTGGATAAGTTTGAAAATCTGGTTTTTCATCAAACTGAAATTTTTTCAACTATAAATTTCAACATTTTTTTACTGCTAGGTTTGTCAGGGGTTTTAATATGTGAATATATGTTTTAATTTCCACAATTTGTTTGGTCATGGTAGTTTATTTTATACAAGCTTTTCTGGTATTATAAAACACCCTATGGGAAACACTAGCATATACCACTGGCCCCCAAATGGGGATATATGCATTCCAAGAACTGTCTAAGATGATCTGCTGTGATATAAAAATAAAATGTCAGAGTATCTATTTTTATTTACTTCAAAAAATCTTGAACAGTGAGAAAAAATGCTGATGATATTTAGCATATTGATTGGTGCTTTTGCCCTTCCTAGGTCCTTATATGAAACAGCTAAATACCACTTGTGAAGCAACCTGGCATGAATGGGTTTTCCATAGTGATGAGTTTGTAGAGCTGCCCCATTTGTTTGCTTGTTTATAGTGAACTATGCATTTTCTTAATTAGGTAATCGGAGTTAGCTAATGTGTTATCTAGTTTTAGCTAGAACATCCTTTATAAAAATGGAAAGATATCATTAAGAAGATTGCTGCCATGAACCATAGACTGATAATCATACTAACAAAAATCTCAGTTTATAATAGTTGCCCCTGTTGGCTCTTTATGTTTAGGAAGTTTGGGTAAATAGTGATTTGACTATAAGACAAGATAAAGCCCTGTAGCAGAAAGAGAATTTAGATGTTGATAATGAAATAGAACCTGTTCATTCTGTAAGAATAATAAATGAGGGGAGTTAAGAACAAGTGGTAGCAGTCAGTAGAGGCTGGCAGAGGCAGCGTCAGTTGCCACATGTGGCTTCTACTGTCATTTTTAGCAGTGTTACTCAACAAGAAAATGTTAGAAGACAGTGTATGGAATATTGTAGAGGCAGTTTTTGTGGTTCTTAACTCCAACACTCTGGCAATCCCACTTTGTTGAAATGTATTTTTTGTGTGTTCCTAGATTTAATTTGCTAGTATTTTGCTGAGGATTTTAGTTTCTATATTCATAAAAAGATTTAACTCATAATTTTATTTTATTCTAAATCACTTTGTAGATTTAGTGTAAGGGATATGTTTGTCCAAGAAACGTATACTGAGAAATATTTCGTCTCCTATTGTCTGGAAGAGTTTGTGGATGTTATCTGTTAATTCTTTCCTCAATGTTTGTTAAAATGTACCTATTCAGCTTTCTGGACCTAGAGGTTCCTTTCTTGGTTGAAAGTTTTTGTTTCTGTTCTTAGTTAATACAGATTCAGTTCTTTAACACATACAGGACTATTAGATTTTGTAATTCTCCTTGTTTTAGTTTTGGTAAATTGTATTTTTTGTTTTAATAGATTTAAAATTTCATCTAAAATTTTATTTTTATTGATATAATATTTTACAGTATTTTCTTACTGTTTAGAAATATATGTAGGGTATGTAATGTCCATCACTTATGCCCGATATTGGAATTTTATGTGGGACTTTACACTTTATTCTTTTAAAATCATCTTATTGCTTTTTTTTCTTTCTTTTGGGTTATTTTGTTAGAGTTCTGGTACAATGTCAGTTTGATCTTTATCCTACATATCTTTTTAAAGTTTAATGTTTTAGTTTGTTTATTTTTTGATATTTTTCATCCTATTTTTCTTTTTCTTTTTGCTCTAGTCTGTATTTTTTTGCAGCTTTTTGGTTCTGTAATTCTGTTTTTTCTGCTTTTATGTGTTTCCTTTATCTTTTGAGTCATTAATTGTACATGTTTTCAGGTCTAAAATTTTTTATCTTGTGGATTTCAGTTCTCTGATAGAAATCTCTGTCCTACTGGTTTTCAGCATTTCCCTTCTGGGGAAATGTGTTTTGGATGTATTGAAAACTCTTACATAAATATTTAAAACTCATTAATAACTGATAACCTGAATCACCCATGGTCCTGTGCCTTTTGTCTCCTCTGTTTTCTGATATGTGTGTGTGTTTGGTCTTGTCTGTTACCTCTGATAATTTGGACATTTTATTTGAAAAATTGGAATGGCTTGATAGGATGTTAACAATCTCCAAGGAGAGTTTGTTATTTCCTTTCTAGGCAGGTGGAGTTAGGGCCTAATTGCCTTAACTGGCTCTCAAGCTTTGAGACTTAGAGTATTAGAAATATAGAGGTCCAGGCTGGTTGCAGTTACACAGGGCCTCCTGTCTCCTGATCCATCCAGGTCAAGAATTACCAAATGCCCCAAGGGAAAGCACCATTGCATTGCTTTGTGTCATCTTACTACTCCACATGATTTTTCTTACTCAGTTACTGTTTTCCTTTAATTTCTTATTGACTCATAGTTCCCTCGTGCTTTTAAATAGAGCTTAAAAAGTCATATGTTTCGTTTTGCCTTCAGCTGCGACATTGGTGTGCCATAAACCACTCAATCATTTATGGATGCAAAAATCAATGGCTTTATTATTTTGAAAGCAAAACAGAAGAACAGCTCATGGTTTTAGTTTCTTTCTTCTTTCAGGAAAAACATAAACAAGAATTGGAAGACATGAGAAAAGCTGGTCATGAAGCCCTCAGCATTATTGTGGATGAATATAAGGTAGAGGTTTGAGAGTCTATTGTGTATTCTTGGATAGCTTTAGTAAAAATTTTACATATATAGGTCTATGTAGCATATACAAATTATAGATTTATAGTGTAGTCTAATTTTGGAATATAATCAATTCCTTTTCACTGACCAATAAATGTTCATAGAAAGCATACCTGGTGGATTACGAAGGTAATGCTAGATATTATTCTGCATTAGAGAAACTTATTTGTGTATTTGAGAATACAATTTCAGCAGGTAAAGAAGTTTGAGTACAAAAATACTATAGAATTATTTGGTAGATTATCTTTTTTCTTTCTGCTGTGATTTCTCCATCTTACAGGAAAAAATTAAGGCATGATATAAATAAAAAAAGTTATTCTACCTTTTTTCTTTTCTTTTTGAAATTAAAAAAATATATTTTTTAAATTTACTGTTGTTACTTTTTAAATATCAATAACTTTAGGGTATATGAATGGTTTTTGGTTATATGGGTGCCTTTTTATGGTGGCTAAGAGGTCTGGGCTTTAAGTCATACCTACCACCCCTACCTGTGCATGTGGTATCTGGTGAGTGATTTTTTCATCCCTCTACCACATTTCATTTCTTTTTATTTTTAAAAACAAATTAAATAGACTTGGGTACATTTAAACAGGAAATGATAAATGTCTAGGTCAGTTATATACAGTAAAAACTGTTATTCTCAAAATTATTTTAAAAACTGCAGGTGAGACCTCATCTCTACAATAAATCAAAAAATCAGCCGGGCATGGTAGCGTATGCTTGTAATTCCGGCTACTTGGAAGGCCGAGGCGGAAGGATCGCCGGAGCCAGTCTGGGTGACAGAGTGAGACTCCAACTCAAAAACAAAAAAAAACTATTCTTCTGATTTTATGCCTCCATAAACTCAATCATTTAAAGCAAATTGAGAATTTGATGTTAAATTCTATTTCTGCCCCTAAATTTTATGTTAGATCATTTTGTTTTTACAAATTATGGAGGTATACATTTTTGTTGAGAAAAAATTCAGACAATTCTCCCCTGAAGTAACCACTACTGACAGTTTGATATATATTCTAAGATATTTCTCTGTGTATATACATATATGCTTATGCAGTAGAGTTTTGATTTGATTTACAAAAATGTCATCATTCTCAATTTATTCTTTCTTGCTGTATTTACTCTATATAACTTGGAGATATTTTCATGTCAGTATATAAAATGTATCATATTTTGGTTCTGTTCTATAGTCTTCACAGTACAAACTTGCCATAATTTGTTTACCCATACATATGTAGATAGGCAGTTAGGTTTTTTTTGATTGTTCCTTACTGAAATAAATGTAAAAAAAATTCTTCCTATGACAGGTGGATTATAAGTGTTTTACTGATGATTAAACTTAATTACTAGGCTCAATATGAGTTAATGTCTTTTAGTTAGTTGACAATTTAATGTCAAAAGCTTTCTTAAGAAGTCATTTGTATAAAAGTAGAAAAAGAAGTAGATCCAGAATTAATTTAAGTGAGAGGTGACTGGGAAAAAAAAACTTAAGAGTATTAAAATAGTCTCCTATTTTCTTGGGACATGAAAGGTTATTTTTCTGACTACACCCAGCATAGTAACTGGTGCTCATTGTTAAGAAGGTCATTTGAAAAAGCCTGGTTTTATAGCTGTGATTATTGGTTCTTTTTATTATAAACCATTTTTATAGTTGTTGAGTTGGAGAAAAATCCTATATTAATATAGTATCCACTTCAAACTATTTTTTTTCTTAAGACTGAGGGTGGGAAGAATTAAAATACAGTAGACCTTCCAGCTCTATGGGTTTCATAACCACAAATGGAAAAATCGTAAAAAACAAACAAACAAAAAAAAAACCCAAGAATAAAAATAATACAATTTTAAAAACCAGTACAATACAGCAACTATTTACATAACATTTACATTGTATTACGCATTATAAGCAATGTAATGATGACTTAAAGTATAGGAAGGATGTGTGTAGGTTATATACAAATACAATACTATGCTGTTTTATATAATGGACTTGAGCATCTATAGAGTTCTGGAAGAGATTCTGAATGGTGGATACCAAGAGACATATTTTCACTTATGTATTTTAAATAAATGTCTTTAAAGTATTGTTAATGAGTATGTTTTTATATGTTTTTCTAAACAGTCCAGTATTTGATATTTTAAATACTTTTTCGGGTCTTACTCCATAATATTTTCTTTGCTGAAAACATCTTTATTGATATCACTTCAATACTGGCAGCTAATCAAGTTAAATCATATGTGAAAATCATTCTAATAGCATTTTGTAAAAAACTTGAGAGCTATTCTTTTTATCTGTTTGTCTAGTATTCTTATTTATTACTCAGCTAAAGAGATATTTAAAATTTTCAAATTTCATACATTATTATTTACTAAAAAGGATTAAGAATCCAATGAAATTATCTCAAAGTTATGTTTTATTTGTATTATTATAGTTTATAGTTGGTTTACATTCAAATAATATAAATTCTTTTACATCAGTTAACTTTGTGAATGCATTACATTAGTGGTTTGTATTGATTTATTGATAAGTTTTACATCTTACACAATGATATTATAGTTCTTGGAGGAAAAATATCAGATATATTTTAATATCAGATATATTGATTGCCATATAAAATTTTGCAGCCAAGGTATTCTATAAACATCCTCAGAATCAATTTTTGTAATAATATGGAAAAAAATAAAATAATTCAGATAGAAAAATTGAGAAATAATAAACCATTGTTGATGGGTTTTGGCACATTATAGAGAAAGAAATGGTGTTTTTTCCCATTCTAGATTCAAGCATGAGAAGTTCATTTGTTCTAATTGCTTTAGAATACTTCTTTTTTTCAGATAACAATTTGCTTTTCATTAATATTTTTTGATGCTTTATTTTATGAAAATGTATGAAAATTTGGTGGATGACTCATTAATCATTAAGTATTTTAAAAGGAATCCAAAATACCTCTATTTTCTATTGCTAGCAAAAGTTGTATGAACGTTATCATTACATTTATTCAGTTTTTAATTTAACAAATAATATTGACTGCCCACTTTATGTTGGAAATTATTGTAGACACAGCACTGGACAAAATATTTAAATTTTTGTTTCAGTGGAATATATATTCTACATCTACATACCTGTGCATGTGAATATACCACATTCAGAAAGGAAGCAACTTAAAAGCATAGCTTTCCTCAATATTTTAGTTGTCAGAACTTCACACTTTTACATCTCCCACATCTGTAGGTATTTGCTCAAATATGCAACTTGAAAAGAAAAATCTGTTACCACCTCACCACCATTCCTGGTTTCTAGGGATCAAATTTCTCCTAGTTATCCTGGACTAGATATAGTCAATCATTTTTTTCCTATCTAAGTTGAGTTGGGATATTGTTGACGAGCTCAGAAAATAATTTCATTGGAAAAGAAAGTGGAAAATATCAAATCAAGTAAAACAAAAAAAATGACAAAAGCTTTAAAAAATGCATAGCAGGATGTATTATTTTTCTATTAAATTCTGCTTACAGAGTTTAATGAAGACAAACCTTTCTTTATTTTTCCTACTCAGTATAATTTCCTACTGTGGACAATTTATATAAAATAGACATAAGTCCCTGCAAGTGAGACAGAAAATGGCAGACTGGCTAGGAACCTTGGAACCCAAGTAACTGCATCCAAGTATTACATCCAAGTGGTGTTTCCTGGGTTTTCCTTTTACCTTTTTTGGTTCCAGCCTAGGTGCTGAAGAAGTCAGTAACCCAGAAATACCAATGGGCACATATAAAACAAGTCCCAAGAAAAGCCTATCTTCTCCAAAGACCAGAAAAGCCTCCACGTAGTAAGGCATAAAACTGTTAGATAATAGCCATTCCACTCCCACCAGACACTACTAGAAAGACAGCAGAGTAATATATTATATATTATATCATATAATATTTTACCGATTATACATTATAAAGAAGAACCAAATGCAAATTTTAGAAGCAGTAGGCATGATAACCAAAATTTAAAAACTCAGGGATGGTCTCAACAGTGGAATGGAGAAACAGGGAAGGAATCAGTGAATTTGAAAATAGATAATAAAAATCACCCAATTTGAACAGTGTAGAGAGAATAAACTGAAAACAAATGAACAGGTTTTTAGGAACCCATGGAATTACACTAAGAGGTCTAAAATTTATGTCTGAAGAGTCCAGGAAGCAGAGGAAAAAGAGGGCAGAGCTGAAAAACATTCAAAGAAACATTAACTGAAAAATCTCCACACTTGGCGAGACATAAAACCTCATATTTAAGAAGCCAAATTGGTTCAAATCTGTAATCCCAGTACTTTGGGAGACTGGAGCAAGAGGATAGCCTGAGCTCAAATGTTCGAGACCAGCCTGGGCATCTAGGTGAGACCTCATCTCTACAATAAATCAAAAAATTAGCCGGGCATGGTAGCGCATGCCTGTAGTTCCAGCTTCTTGGAAGGCTAAGGTGTAATGATTGCCTGAGCCCAGCAGTTCGAGGCTGTGGTGGCCGTGAGCTTGCCACTGCTCTCCAGCCTGTGTGGCCAAGTGAGACTCCAACTCAAAAAAAAAGAAAAAAGAAAGAAGTTGGATGAACTCCAAATGTGATAAAGTAAAAAAACAAGCAATATTCATGCCAAAGTACACTGTAACGGTTAATTTTATGACTGGGCCATGATGCTTAGATACTTGATCAAACAGTATTCTGGATGTCTCCGTGAGCGTATTGTTTGGGATAAGATGAACATTTAAATCTGTGATCTTTGAATAAGTAGATTGCCCTCTATAATATAGATGGGCAACATCCAATCAAAGGCATTAATTTCTAAAATAAAGACTAACCTTCCCTGAAAAAGAAGGAATTCTGCCAATTCTTTAGAAGTATGTTGCTTACCTCACATATGTGTGAATTTTCCAAGTTTCTTGTTTTACTTTAATTCTATTTTGGTTGGAGAACTTAT